CCCCGGGCTGTGCGTCCGGCCGGGGCCTCTGCGGCGAGGGGCGCGGCGTCCTTCGCGCGCGCAGGGGAGGGCCTCTTCTTCCGGTCGTGGAGCTTATTTCTGGCGAGCTGGTGGGTTTACTCAGCTTTGTGGAAAGATCTTGTTTGAACCCTCTCGCTGGGAAGGGTGCGGCTCGAGCGGCGCTGCAAGGCAGGCGATCCGCCCTGCGTTCCGGTCAGAGGAAGAGGTGTCGGTTACCCAGCAGCTGCTGCTGCCAGCGCTGGCTGTGCCGTACCGAGGTACCAAAACCTCTCGAACTGACGACGCGACTGACGCCTTGTTGGTGCTTTTTGCAGGGGACACCGCAGAAGGATGTTCTATTAAAATCTGATGCCCCAAGCACACTGCTTTCGGAGAAACATGCGGACTATATAGCTTCATATGGAACAAAGAAAGATGATTATGTAGGTATAGATTTGTTTCAGTACAGCTGTGGTCCTTATTGACTTGCTCAGAGTTAAGGGTTAGATGCATGCTCACGAGCGAATTGTTTCTTGCTTTGCAATCCAAGCTATAAGGGAGAGATGTCTTTGTTAATTTCCCTAGGTCTGTGATGAGTTTTGGCAGGTATTTTCTGAGTATAAATTTGAACATTATTGGTTTAGCTCTAGAATTACTTCGAGACCTGGGAAATAAACTACTTGTTGCTTCTTCATCCACTAGAATGCACAAGGAGTATAGCTGCATTTACACGTTCTTTTGATGGGACAGCATACTGAATCTCACCACAGCACTGCTTCATGCTTACTGGGTTTGATAAACACTTTAATTAGCATCAGTTCTATAGTCATAGGTTATCAGATGTAGCCCATAATAGAATTCCAGTTCCAGCAGGTGAAAAATGACAGTAACTGCTTATGTCTGAAGAAAAGTTGCAGTTGTCTTTACTGTCCACAAAAGAACTCTGAGCACTATTGCTTATGATGTTATTCTTGTGCTTAAGAAGTCCTGCATGTAGAAACTAATGTTTATAGGTAGTGTAGGTGATGTAACCAATGTAAGAGACTTCAATATGAGATTTGATTTCCTAATGTGACTTTAGATTGTGGCAGTTTTGGCACTTGGAAGTAAGTTTCATTAAATGTTAGGCTTGTTATTTTTGAGACTAGTTGGGGTGGTAATTTGAGTGATAGATTGCATGCCAAGATAATAACTGATGATCTGAAGTGAATTGGTGCCTAGCTACTTGTAGGTGTTTAATTCTACATTGAGCTTGATACTTTGAACTAGAAAATACAGGGGAGGAAGGGAGCGCAGTATGTGTAGATCTATACATGTGCATGTGCCTGAATGTGCGCATGTGTATGTACAGACACGCATGACGTACAGAATATTTGTGAGTGGCTGATACGTATTAAGTTGTTAATGGGGTGGAAATAGTTGACATATTACAGATTGTTTGTAAATGGTAAATGATGTATTTTCATTGCTCTATGTTGATGATGTGCTTATGTGATAAAGAACTAAAATAATGCACTACTTAGGAATACTGTATGTCGGAATATTTGAGGATGAGTGGTGTTTACTGGGGGCTGACAGCAATGGATCTCATGGGGCAGCTGCACCGAATGAACAAAGAAGAAATTCTGGCATTCATCAAATCTTGTCAACATGAATGTGGTGGAATAAGTGCCAGCATAGGTCATGATCCTCATCTTCTGTATACCCTCAGTGCTGTCCAGGTAAATGTAGCAGGGTAATTTAAAAAGAAAAGTTGTAACTAATGATTTTTGATGATTGCAGATTTATGAACCAGGTACTGTTGGATGCCAGGGACAAAAACTGTTTCAGTGCTGTATTAAAAAAAAAAATATCTAATGGCCAAAACTTTAGAATTTAGCTGTATCATTTCCTAAAAAATTGTCAGGTTTTGGAATGTGCTTGTAATGATCATTTAATGGTGGCTGCATTCTTGATAAAATTTGTAATGTTCTTGAAATACTTATTAGCTCCAGGTTTTACTGAAGTTGTTTGTAGATAATTTTGTATTTTATTAATTTTTCTTAGTGTAGATTGAGATGAAAGACGTGTGACCAGAGTAAGAGTAAAATCTGGGATTTAATTTTGTAATGTGTATATTACTATATATTATGATTGCTATCTAACATGTTAATAATTTTGTACTATTTACATAAATATATATGTAATACATATAATTATGCATAGTGTGTTTACACTTTAGTACTGTACAAAAGAAACATTCTAGTAGCCAGTTCTTGTTGTGTTCCTCAAATCTGCTTATTTTGTGTATAACTTAAATATTATACCAGTCTGTTGAGCATTTTTATGTATTTATTTGGTGTGTACTCTTCCACTGAGGAAAAAGTAATTCTCAATCTTATTTTTTCACCATAACTATCTGCTTTATAGTTTTAATTTTTCACTATCTCTGGTGTCATTTTCTTTAAATTGTTGTTCTCCTTCTCATGCAAACCATCATGGAAAAAAAGTACGAAAAGGCTGACACGCTTCTGAACAATTGCTTGATTGCTCGTATAATCTATCTCTAGTCCAATCTTGTGGAAGAAATATTGAAATGGTGTTACAAATAAATAAGATGGCATCCTGTTTTGGGAACAAAGTGGGCTGCATTTAAGGTCTTGGATTTGAAACTGTTAGGTAGGACAGAAGAATGCTGTTTTCTTGGTCAGTGATGAGTATTGGCAAGTACTATCACTCTAAAGTTGATATTTATCACCACTTTAGCTCTTGAATTAAAGTAGTCTGAAAACAAGGTGTTGGAATCCTGATGCACCACCTTTTGCAGCACCACACTGGGAATCGAATGTTTCTTTAGGCTGTGACATTTGAGCTTTTCCAAACTGTCCAATCAAACTCCTTTCACAAATGCTAATCCAGTATAAGAAGGGGATCCAATTTGAGGTTGTTTACTGTTACATATTAGAGATGTTAGTTCTTAAATAAATGCTCGATATTACTAGAAGATATTTTCATGTTAACTGAACGCAGCTCTAGATGTGCGATTTGAAAAGTGTTAGCAAGTACTGATGTAAAATTTTTGTGTTAAACCTAACCAGCGTGTTTTAACGAGCACGCATGTTCTTAGTGAGCAAATACCGTTTAGTCCTACCTACATATTCAGAATGTTTAAAGGGTCATGTCACCTCTTCCTTTGGTGTCCATTAATAGTAGTTTGTTCTGATTTGCTTTATAAGGAGCATGCTACAATTGTGTGTTTTCTGTTAGAGTTGTACACTCCTTATTGCATTCCCCTAAGACTTAAATATTATCTAGCAATTCAGAGATTCCAGCTAACTCTGGGTGTTCAAAGTCATAGTATTTTTGGGGATTGGCACTATAATATTGCTTAGTTTCAACTTTCTTTCTATTATGCTGTGTATAATAAATTCTTAATTACTCTCCTCACAGACTAGGCAAATTCTGAGTAAAAACACAAAGACAGCTGGGGTTCAGAAGCAGTGTTGTTTTCACATGACATTGTGTCATAATGGGCTTACTGGTTCAAATCAGTGCTAGCTCAGAAAACTTTGTACTCCCTACTATGACCATTATTAATTCTTTCAGAATATGTTGACTGTACAGTTTATGTCTAATCGTACTGTTCATACTTTTTCTTAAATTATTGTAGTTTGATTCTACTCATTATATTTAATATTGAATGTAACTAATACAATTGAATGGAAATAAAAATCTTATAATTCAAAACTAATCATTGCTAACAGGCTTGGACTGTAAGTGGTATTAGTAACTAGCTGCTTAACTTACACTTGCACATATCCAGGTAGCAGCAGTGCACAAACTACAGATTTGTAAGTCTAGGATGTCATTACCTCATTACAAAATTAACCACAATCAGATCTCTGTTCTACATAATGCTAACATAAAACCAGATAAAACTGATTATGCTTTGGAAAGGAGAGCTGGAAGTTAAAAATTAACAAAACATGAGAGAGTGCTTGAATTGCCTATATTTTCATTTGAGAATTTCTTAATTTTTAGACATAGATGAGCTGCAGTGAATGAATTTTTGTTTTAATAAACCTTAACAGATAGCATTGATAGTCAATTAAATAAAGTCTTTGATAAATCCAGGAATTTTTTTTTTAAGAAATCAATTTTTAGAATTTTTGCCTCTCTTTGACTGTCACTCTGTCTTTTTTTTCCCAGATTCTTATCTTATATGATAGTCTCCATGTTGTTGATGTAAATAAAATTGTTGAATATATACAGAACTTGCAAAAAGAAGATGGATCATTTGCTGGAGACAGATGGGGTAATTTTTAGATCTTTAAAATTTAATGACTAGGTTGACATGCGTAAGTCTGTGAACTTAAGTTTCCTTGAGTGGTCTTTTTGCTAATGTATTGTATGTGAACATTTATTTTCTGAGCTATGAAAAAAGAGGTTTTGTGAGGGCCAGAGTTGTGTTTCATTCTTTTCAGAAGTATTCTAAACTTCAGTTCCGTATTTTCAGTGGTGATTTAAATGTATTTTTGTTGTTGTTAATAAAAACACTTACTTCATTCCCTACCCCCCACATTCTAGGAGAAATAGATACAAGGTTCTCCTTCTGTGCTGCAGCAACTCTTGCGCTTCTGGTAAGCCCTAAATCCTTACTTGCACAAGTACAGAATCTTTTCTTTGGTACTGCTGAAGTTTCTGTAGTTAATGAGCTTGGCAGAACATGAAGTGCATTAGTTGATTTTGTGACTTGCAGGGAAAGCTGGATGCTATTGATGTGGGGAAAGCAGTAGAATTCGTTTTGTCCTGTATGAACTTTGATGGAGGATTTGGTTGTAGACCAGGTTCCGAATCACATGCAGGACAGGTGAGTTTTTCTTTATATGGGAATGTTTTAAATTAGCAGGCAGCACGTACTGCCTATAAATGTTTCTTTACAGCATGTATCAGTGATGTCAACTGATGTACCTTTCTTGTTTCCCAAATGCCTGATTCTAGTACCTTAGTTAAAATAGGTGAACAAACAGGTAGCTAAATCTGAGAAGATGAGTAGAGACTCGGGAAGTTGCAGTTTGGGAAAAAAAACCCTCAGAAGATAATAACAGAACAACTTTTAGGACTGTATTTCAGTCTTCGCATAGTGGTACTGGAATAGTTAGTGTGAAGATTTTCAGAGAATTTTAAATGGATATTTATGGAGATATTGGGCAAGATCTATCACTGTGTCTGCTACAAATCGTAATGAAACATAAAGGTCAATTGTATAATATGTTTGATATTTATTAGTTGATGAACTGAAATAAAAATGACATGTGATCCTTCTCAAGGGGAGGCTTGATTAATTTTTTGAGGAAAGTCAGTTTTAAGATGAGATGCCTAACTCAGACGTGGGAACATTTATCATGTTTTGTTGTAGGTACTAAAGAGTGTTTTGTGCCAGTGACACTGAATTCCGAAAAGTGCTCAGTAAAATCTAATTGAGAAGAGAATGCGGTAGTATAATTGGAACAAATTAAGGGATCTCTCATGGAAGGGAATGTCGATGTCTTCCAGCAGAAAATTTACATAAGAACTACTTTTCCTATTTTTTTTCCTGGAAGGCATTATTGCACTTAACCTGAATTTCTGAGTAGAAATCAACTTTTAATAAAATATTTTAATGCTGTTGCAATCACCTGTTTATTTTGCATAATTATGGTGAGCAACCCAACTGGTCCATGTATGTTATCTTACAAGTTTTATCTACAGTAGCCTTGCCCATATGGTCTAAATGGCTGGACCATGTCCTCGTGTTCAAAGAAGTCGGATTAAGTAGCTGAACCCACTCTTTTTGCAGCTGGCATCTCCTGGGAGGCTTAGATCTGTTGTGCCTATTCACATACTCCTTAAAATGCTGTAAAGGGCAACTCCTTTGCCTGCACAGTAGTTAAAAAGTTTTCTGGGAATATCACGTTTATTTTGCATATTCTTGATTAGGCACATCCCTGTTGATGTGTGCTTTTGTTGTGTTTTTTGTTGTCTTTTTGGGAGTGTGTTTTATTAGGGAATGTGATTATGAGCAGGCTTCAGTCCATAGCGTAGTTTCCTGCAGTCTATGCTTGGCTGCTTTCTTAGTGACTGTGTGAAATGTGACCAGAGTATGCTGTTGCACTGTAAATGTTATTTACCAGGAAAAAATAAACAGGGATTAATCAGTGCATGTATATTACATGGCACATTGAAAATAAGCCTGACATGACTGGATGTATGTGCGGTTGTCAGGATAGTTAATGACCAGGGTTAGCCTATTTCTGCTAGAGAATTCATTTGGTCTTTAGTTTGCTCTCCACAAGCCTTGGGGTAAGAGGCACATACAGGAACAAACCATAGTCTGGATGCAAAATTGTCATAAAGGTCATATCCGGCCTGCAGAAACCAGTTTGAGTACTCTGTCTTGAGAGTCCGTGTTTGTAAAATGAAACTGTATGGCTCTGCCTGATCTTTTAGGATCCTTTTCAAAACTTTGCATTAGTGTCTTCTATCAGTAAAATCATACTATTCTATAATTACATTGTGCAACTGGTACTTTTATACAAAAGCAACTGTCACGATAACATACTTTTCTAATGGAAAAGTAGAAGTCTTTTGAAATTAAAGTTGAAATGTGTGAGTATTTTGTACTGTGTTTGCATGACTATTTCCTGCATTTAGATTGCTAAACTATACTTAGTTTTTTAAATACACAAAAAATTTATGTCTGTAATTTTAGATCTATTGTTGCACAGGATTTCTGGCTATAACAGACCAATTGCATCAAATAAATGTTGACTTGCTGGGTTGGTGGCTTTGTGAACGTCAGTTACCATCTGGAGGTCTCAATGGACGACCAGAGAAGGTATTAGTTGGCTTCTTTTGTTTGTTCAAACCTCAGTAGAGATTACCTTTTTAAAGCTGAAGTACTTCTGGAAATTGTCATGCCTTCTGTGAAATATTTAGTAAACTTTTCAAAGAAGTCAGGCCTTCATTTTGATTCTTTGTTTTGTCTCTAACACTTCTCGTGCAGTCCTTAGCTATGCTTAGTTTGAGTCCTCAGTTTAGGAAAGTACACATACTGAAGTGTGTCTTGCTGTCCACTTGAACCAGGATCCTGTTAAATCAGGCTTGAATATTTTTCTGACATTGGGAATGATGTCTTCCATAGAATTTGTACAAAAGTTACTGTTTTACTGGATGTAAATCCTGGGTATAATAGTGTTCCACGTTACACTAGGAAGTTGTATAATGTAGAATAATGTCCACTGGCAAATAGATAACCGACAGAGTTTTTTTTCAAAAAATGAAACTAGTTGATAAGTTCTTCATACTTACTGCTGAAAAGGGTGCTGTGGTTTTTCAGCCTCTCCCACAGAAGGTGAAAGCTGTTTCAGAATCACATTCTTGTGGTTTTGTTTCTTGAAGAAGGGGAGAGGTTTGAAAAAGAGACTTTACCTTCCTGAAAAAGGGAAGTCCTCTGAAAAGAGACTGCATCCAGGAACTTCCTTCTCTTTTATCCGAAAGAAATTCTTTAAAGTGTTGTTTCTCTGCAACAGTATTATGATAGCACACCTAGTAACTTGCAGAATCACCAATAAAATTTGCAATGTCATGTTTAAAACAAAATCAAATAACAGTCTGCTTCTCTGCTTGCCAGTTACCTGATGTATGTTATTCGTGGTGGGTGCTAGCATCTTTGAAGATGATTGGTAGGTTACATTGGATTGACAGAGAGAAACTGCGCTGCTTTATTTTGGCTTGCCAGGATGAAGAGACTGGAGGATTTGCTGACAGACCAGGAGATATGGTAAATAATCATTTACTAAATAAAATATACTTAATTGAAAATTTCAACTGAAAAAGTAAGTTTTCTCGTTTGAGTGTAACGTGATCCAGGTGGAAGCATTTTGCAGAGCCCGCAGTTTACTTTGAAGGAAAGAATAGGGTAGAGTTGCTTTCAAAGGCTTACTTGGGGAGCACATATTTTGTGTTGCCCTTGCACTGCAGTATCCCCCACGGAAGTCAGTTGCCATTCCTTACAAATTCTGGTTTGGTTCCCATAATGCATACCACACAAATCGTTTCTCACGAGACCACTTGGAAGATCTCTCTAAAAATGCTGTGTTTGGTGGTGGAGGTTTTGGGATGTGTGGGTTTTTGGTGGGTTGTTTTGTTTTGTAAAACGATACGCAAGCTAGAGTCCAGTGCAGGTTGAGTAGTCTTCAGCTGTCTCGGTGGGTTTGTGTGACATAAATGAGTTACAAGCTTTTGTTAAGAATCCTTATAGGCTAACTTTAGTTCTGGTGCCAGCCCAGCCACTGAACAAATCTTCTCACTGGCATATGTCTAGATGAGGGAGGAAGAAGCTTTTGTGGGAACATTGTGAAGAGGCTGGTAGTATGGATTTTTTGCTTGGTTGAGAGAGCAGTTATGGTTTAGCTGGTCTGTTTTCACTGGTTTCAAATAGTTGAGATTGTCTAGGTAAAATGGCAAATAAAGTTTGTGTCTTTCAAGGATGCTGGACAGATGAAATTAAAAGTATTACGAGACCTCAGTGCAATTCCTATGGAACACTTGGCTGCTTATTTGTCAAGGGGAAGTCTTAGCTGTTTATATTGCAAGTGACCATGTCTTCTCCTTTCTCCAGAAAAGCATTAAAAACTGAAGTAGCTTTCGATTTCTTTGCAAGCTGATACATTATTCCCACTTGAGGGAGGGAGAGAATTCTGGTCTGTCGTTCCAAAGGTGTTTTGGTGTTAAAATGGGAAGGTTTTTGTATTTCTGAGGAGTACAGAAAAAGCCTTTTGCCTTTTCAGGATTCTCCAAGAAAAGCCTAACACTTAAAGCCTTAATGCTTTTCTGGCTTTGAGATTAAACTAAGCTATTTCTGTCTTGCTAGAAGAGCAACTTTGAAGAGCCTTTCCTCTGTATCTAATGCAGGCACCTTTGGGGGAGTTTTTGCATATTAGTGATCATTTCATATTACTTTTACCTGTCATCCATGGCTGAAGTGGGCACTGCCATGGAAATATTGACACCTATAGGTTTTTGCTTTGTTCCTGCAGAAGCTAATTTCTAACAGCCCAGTTGTTTTCTGGGTTTTTTTGTGAGTTTGTTTGTTGGTTTGAGGTTTTTTGTTTGTTTGGGAGTTTTGGGGGGTATTTTGTGGTTTGGAGGGTTTGGTTTTGAGGGAGGTTTTTTTTTTCTTGAATTAGTTCTAAGCTCTAGTCTTTTGATTTGACATTGTGATTGTATTGCAGGTGTTGAACCACTGGACAATAAGACAGCTCGGTCATCTTTAAGTTCCAAGCAGCTAGTTCTTCATAACTTAAGTTAGTAGCTGTGCTTATTAGCTCTTAGTTGCAGATCAGCAGGTTTTTCCTTTTCTACTTGCTTTAAAGAGAACTGCAGAAAGGAGCAGACAACATAGCAGTGGATACATCTTCTAGGAATCTGGGTTTCCCTGAACATACATTCTTTTCATCAAGAAGTTGAATCTGTAACTTCATTTGCACACTTCCCATGGGGAACCATCTCCCCTTCTGGGCCTGTGCATCTGTACAAGTAAATTCTGTCTTGCCATTTCTAAAGTGTACTGTTTATTTTTGTTTTTGTTATTTTGCTGTGTACTTACTTGTTTTATGCCTCCTCTAATGGCTGTGTACTCATTCTGGGAAGGAGCGAGTAAACGTATGTCTGAGCTTTGACCACACCTGTAATGTGGTTGCCAAACCACTGAGGAGCAAGATTTGCTGTGCTAGTGTAGTTGGAACCTTCTAGGCTGTGATCAATGGTTGGAGATCCTGTATATGGCTATAACCTGGTAATTCAGGTTAGTTTACTGCCGTGTAGAACCTTTGCAGTAAGATCCAGAGGTTCCACTAATGCAAAGAGCATGTACGCTGCACCAGACAGCACAGGTACTTTTGGATAGGATTTTGTAGAATGGCTAATCAACTCCACTGACAGGATGCTTATGTCATGAGACTTCATAGTCTATTGCAGTTATGTGCCCATACATGCTTTTAGGGAAGGTTCAGACAGTGAAGGAATACTTGGATACTAAATAACTGTTCCTGTCGCTTCTGGGTTTTTTCTTCCTAGTATTTTTTTCCTTTCAGTTTTCTAGCACAGTAGGTTGCTGCTCCCCTCTCAAGATTTTACAGCACAACTCTGTATTCAGAGACCATTAAGGAGCATGATAATGTTCCTGAAGAGCAAATGGGGAATTTATGGAAGTGGTACTTGTAGATGATCAAATTTACTTATAAAATTTTTATTATCTTTGCTGCTGCTACCCTGTGACATTGCATGCTAATGGAGACACATGAGTGCTTCCTGCCAAATTCAGAGTTGAAAATCATCTTAGCAGCAGACAATTGACAAGCATCTCTGAGTAAATCATAGTATTGTAAATGTATGCTGTGGAAGGTGTCTTGCCTGTCAACAGGTCAGCACAAAGGAAAGTTTGCCCAGTTGCATTGTCTTCTCCAGCCATGGAGATCTGCTTGATAGCAAACAAAAGCTGCATTCCATACAAATGAAAAGCCGATTGACTTCTGGAAATGAACACTAACTTTCTTTTTTCTCCCAGGTGGATCCATTTCACACCTTATTTGGAATTGCTGGACTATCTTTATTAGGAGAAGAGCAAATTAAGGCCGTCAATCCTGTCTTTTGTATGCCAGAAGATGTCCTTCGAAGAATAAATGTACAGCCTGAGCTTGTGAGCTAAGCCTTGTAGCAACAAAAGGTTGATATACCCAGTTGCTTTGGTTTTAATTATTCAAATCATCTCATCTCTGAAACTGTTAGCGTATTCTTCTTTGAGATGTGTTTACATTTCAAAAGTAAAGCAATAGCTTTACTGTGGGCTTTGTCACTTTGTATCAGAAGAGGCTGGTTCTAATAATCTTAGTTTAACATGTTCTTTGGTTGCATATAAAAGATATAGAAACATTTCTAATCTGTATTTAAATATATGGGCCTTTGTGGGTTTTTTTGAATATTCAAGTCAAAGCAATAGTGTGAGAGCTTGATTTTTGTACTCCTGTGGTATCAACCGTGCTAGCATCTGTCTTTACACAAGCATGTTTTGATGATGGATCACACAAAGCACTTTAAAAGAATATTAAAAAACCCCAAACAGAACCCTATTTAATCCATGCACTCAATGCCACATGCTTCTGTATTTAATTGTTCCTGTTCATGTTTGCCATGACTTTTATATTACATTGAGAAACAAGCTTTTTCTTCTCATAGTAATTGATACCAGTGAAAATAACAATTATGGTTCCATTAAGTATAAAAATGTCTTCATTTATTGATGAATCCCATAGACAAAATTTCACTGATAGTTGAAATAGAGCATACCTTGAGTATGTATAGTGAAACTTGCTAATATTAAGCATTCTAGAGAAGGTCTCTATAGGACAGTGACTTGTAACAATATAGAGTTGATCCTAAATTTGTTGCTGGTTTGAAATCCTGCTTTTGTAGCTTTTAAGATAGTAATTGCTAACACTTGATTATGGTGTAATTGAGAATAAAACTAACTGTGGAAAATACTTGTCCTCTGAAGAATGAAGTCCTGTTTGTTTTCACAAAAGCCTTAAAATTGCCTCTTAATTTACATTCCACACACCCTGGCTGCGACTGAATGGTATTCCAGTTGAAATACACAGTAAAAGGTAATTCTGAAGGGGAGGAAGTCTGATAATCTCTGTACTTAATGCTTAAGGAAGGTCTAAAGTTGTGTCAAACACAGTTTAAAAAGCCAGCTGGTTAGTTTTATCTAGCCTATTCGTGTTAGTAGAGAGTAAGATAGAATTGGACAAAGTAACTTTTTGGTAGAACTGTACTTGCAGAGAATCTCAAAAGGGAGAATGTGTATTTGAATGCTCAAGTATTTCTAATGAATTTTTTAAGCCTTCTCTACAGGCTTTTAGATGAGGTTAAAACCCTACTCTTTTTAACTCTCCAAATGCCCGATGAATTCTTTGGTCAAAGCCTGGGATTAATTTCTTATTCAAGGTTTGGAAAAAAGTTACAGTAGGCTTTGTGTTGAGTGCAAAGGAATGAGAGCACTGATCAAGTTTTATCTAACCGTGAAGTTTAACAGAAAATTCTAAAATTAATTTTAGTCATTCCAGATTACCTTTGCAAGTGCCACTCCTTTTCATCTAAGGAAACTGTCCAGTACATAGGAATTAGCCTTTTTTTCATGTTGTGTAGACAAAATAGAATATTCTTCAAAATTTCTAGTCTAGTGTAGACTGAGACACCCTGGGAATTAATATGTGGGTGATACTGCATGACAGTGTAGAACATCTCGCTGCAGGTTGAAATCCTATTAATAGTATTGGAGTTTTTCTCTGAAGAAGGTCTGGTCAACTTGTTTCCCTAAGTCAGCTGTGATTTGTAAAGATCTTCTAAGATTATAGGTTAAAAAATGGGGTATGTGCACAAACTAAAAACTTCTTAAGAATATTCTTCCATTGTTTACATCAGTTTTTTGAAATACTGTATTTGTAGAAAGAGAGTCATCACAATTTTTCTTAAGCAAACAAAATCACATTTTCTGTTAAATGTATTGTGAAAAAAAATTAGTTGCTCAGTGTGTCTGTGTTAAGACTTCTGTCATTTTGGTGCAGAACACATTGTTACGGTCTACCTCTGCTTTGTTGAAAGTACTTTCAAAGGTTTTTTTCTCATCTTATGTAGGTAGAAACTTTGCAGTAATTAATCTACTATTCTCAGTCTTCAGTTACAAGTCCTTTATCAAAGGCTTTCAGAAATTTGTACTTTCATAACTGTTTCTGCCCATGGAAATCTTTATATGGAAAGATCCTGACATTGTCTTAGTACTTAATCTTAAGCACTGTAATGTAGCCAACATTGCCAGCAATAAATTTTGGAAGATGCTGTGTGAGAATATGTAAAAGTATAATGAATAATTCAGGTACATAAAATTGTGTGTCTGTAGATATGTTTATGAAAACAAAATCAGGGGGGAGGGGATCAACAGCCATTCTATTAACCTTCTAAGAACGTGGTCAAGTCCGGAGGTACGTGCTTTATCCAAAGATGCTTATTTTCAGTTTTGTTGCAGCAGCTTGGTTAGGTGAATTCAGCCTTACGATTTGTGACCGTAAGAAAGGAAGGAAGGTGGAAGATGGACGTTCCTTTGGTTTCTGCTTTTCTTGCCATACACTTGGATGTCTGACAGAGAAGAGGAAAAGGTCTTAACACCAGCTTCAGGAGTCTGAAAGCGCATGGAAAGTTCAGTGTAGGACTTGAAATTCAGGACAGTGGTAGTAACTGGAATCGGCACCTGCTGTCTTCCAGCCTTTGCAGTGAGGCTGAAGTTTCTGATGCTCAAATTTTTAAGGCAGTCAGACTGATGGTGGTCAGTGCTGAGAGAGCACATGCCTGTTCTGAACAAGGAGGCTGGTGGCAGTGCCTTTCAGGTGTTGGCTGAGGAGCTGCAACTGATAGAATTTCTGTTGTGGAGCTGAATAGCTATCAAACTACAACTGTCCACAAAGAGTTGTGGCCTAGTAAAGGCCTTCAGTTTGGAGTGTTTTTAATGCACTTGTATTAAGTTCCAGGGACAAAGTATTGTCTACTCAAAATCTTAATTGAAACAGTTTTAGTGGTGTACATTACATGCTAGTATACAAAGCAGTGTTAGTGTACTAAAACATGCAGAGAAGGACGTATATTTAAGACAATTACAGATGTAAACAAGATTTATGGTTTTCAGTGGGATCTTTTCGTATCTAAACTCTTGAGCAGGGGGAAAACATCTGTGAAACTCCTGCGGAAAGAGTCTCTGCATTTTGAAGAATGAATGTGGGAAAAGTCATGTTTAAATGCTTTACTCCTGGTTTAATGAGCATTGCAGGCTCTTTCTTTGCATTCCTGTGTCACCCTTTTATTGTAATTGCGTATTTGTAATGAAACTTGTTGCATGCCCAGCACCGATATTGACTCTTGTATCATTTACAGCTGTCCTAGTAGCTGCAGCTCTTTCCTCAGCACAGAACTCCGCCTCGGCACGAGGGCCCCCTGCTGCCGGCCCGCCGAGCAG